AAGCATGCTACGAGAGCTGTTAAACAAACAAGAATGCAAGCACGAAATGTTTTGCTAAGATTACTACAGTAACGTTCCATCAAAGATTCCAAATCTGTTTTTTTTAAAAAAAAAAATCAATTCTCATGTCCCAATATTCCAACGCAGAAGAAAACTTTAACTGACTTCCATTTATCTCTCACTTTCTTAAATCAATCCAAAGTCCACACTCATTCCATATATCAAGGAACCTTGCACCATGTCAATGTTAACATAAGGGCATTATTAAAAGACAAGTCTTTAAAATAATTCAAACAAACAGATGATTCAATACTCCAATTCTACCATTTAGGTGCATTAAGCTAATAAGGACACCAAGCATATTCATCAATTAAACGTCAAAAAATACGAAAGCAGGCAGAGACATTCTTGCTGTGAAATTGAAACAAGGATAAGAAAGCATGGACCTCAAAGAGCGATAACTTTCCGATTAATGGAGTTCCGAGTTTACATTTCTATTCAGTCGAGAAGCAAACGAGAATCTGACCAAGGAATTGAGCAGCGAACAAAGAGCCAACAGGGACACGAACGTGACAGAACCTCGAACAACCATTCAGATCACACCCATATCAGTTTCATGCTCAAAGTTTCTGCCGCTTCTCTTTTGAATTATAGGATTCAAAGATTCATGGCTGCCGTCTTTTTTGTAGTCTAGGTGTAGGGATTGAAAAACTTAGGGTAGGGTTTCTATAATTGGGTATTTTATATGGAAGTGGGAAGGGATGATGACCATTAGATTAGAAGGAAAATAGATGGCTAGGATTACATCTTGCACTTAAATGGGCTAATGGGTTGGGAAGAATGGGCTAAGGGTAATTGGGTTGGACCATGTTTTTTTGTGTCTCAATTTTGGGCTAAGAAGACTCCAAAAATTATTATTCAAAACCATAGCTAAATTCCTTTAATATAAGATAACTATACTACATGATGCAAAAATAAATTCTAATTAATTAAACTAAACTATATTAAAACATGAAACTATTATACATATATTTTTTTTGTATTTTCTAACATTATATAAAAGTAAAAATAAGGTACTATTTTTGTATATTTTTTACTTTACGAAAGGTGCATAAAATAAAATATTTGTTTTGTAATTTTCATTTTCTTGTATTAAAATAACGTAAAAGAGTAAAATTAGTTGAAATGGCGATATTAGGCCTAAACTAAATATTTACATGCTAAAATAGGTAAAATTTCGGGAAGGGTCAAAAATCACATGTCAACAGGGACGACTGCTCGGATGTAGGGATGATGTCTTTCTCGGTCGAGACGGGGACCCGACTAATCCCTTCGACCGTCGTTACGACGATCTTTCCTCGATTCTGCTTGAACTGACGTCAGCCATTGGGTCGGACCGTTGAGATCGTCTTCGTCTGCTCTCACCTCGGCACAATAGGCATTTTGGATTTCTTCCCAGGTGGTGGTAGTCGTGGGGGGGGGGGGGGGGGTATTTCATGAGCCTGCTTAATAGTTTTTTGGTTGCTCTTGACCCGTTCCTGCTCAACCCATTTTGGAAGGCTGCTACCGCCATCTCCTCTGATTACATTTGGTAGGCACATTCTCACCTTGTTAAAACGGGCGAGGAAGTCCCTGAGTCCCTCTCCAGGCGATTGCCTAATGGCAAATATGTCATTAACCCCGGCTTCCGCCTTTTTAGCCCCTGCATGAGCGGTGACAAACTCGTCGGCCATTTCCTCGAACATTGCTATTGACCGTGCCGGCAGTTGTGAGTACTAGGTTTGGGCTCCCCCTGTTAGGGTTTCGCCGAACTTTTTCAGTAGCACCGATGGAACTTGTTCCTTCGAAAGATCGTTGCCCTTCACCGCTGTGGCGTAGTGGATGATATGATCTTTTGGGTCTGTAGTGCCATCGTATATCTTCAGGTACGACGACATTTTGAAGGTTTTGGGAATGGCATGGGGGGCTGCTTCCTCGCTGTATGGTTGTTCGACGAATCGACCAACGTTTCGTTTCGGTAGCAACTTTGGGGCGCCTGGTATCTTATCGACCCTTTCTTGATGCTCCTTCATCTTGTCACGGAGTGCTTTGTTTTCGTTTTCCATATCTTTCATTTTCTTTAGAATGGCTGCGAGTGCATCATTGCCTGCATCAAAAGTGGTGTAAGTGTTACCTATTTGGGGGACGGGCTGTTCGCCAGTTGTTGTTGTGATATCTACTTGTACAGTGTTTCTGTTCTCCCTTAGGACGGGTTTGTCGAGTATCTTGTCTAGAGTACTTGTTAGCCACTCTTCTAGTAGTCTTTTCACTGCCGGTGGTGCTTTCTCAATTATTGACATGGAGGCTCCTTTTTTGCGTGAAACTGTTACGCTTTCGCAAGGGGGATGTGAGACGCTCCGCCTGGGCGTAGCATTTGGTGTCGCGTTCTCGTTGTCTTCCCTGCCATCTTCGTTGATGGTGTTCAAGATGTTGGTAGTGACACCTACTATCGTTTTCAATCTCGCGTCTTCTTTTCCTGCCATTGTTAGTTTGTACAAATGAGGAAGAGATGTCTTTTTTTTTTAATGATCTAGAAAGAACTATAGTTTCAACTAAAAATCTCCCCACAGACGGCGCCAAATTGTTTTAGCAAATAATTACTAAACCAATCAAGAATAAATTAGTAGGGTGAATTTCAGTTGAACTCAATAAATCCTAGACCAAACAAAACAAAGTTCTTGTATGACGAATTAGGCTTATGAACATTAAATAGCGAATTTAATATACTATGATTGGCAAGACATGTAATATCATAAATGTATAATAAATGCGAGAATGATAGGGGTTATAGTGTAAAGGAATCGTCACCGAATGATTGTGTGATTGGGTGTTTCCTTTCTCTGACGACGTGGAAAGATAAGTAATCAATCTGAGTTATGGGATCTTGAGATTTGTGGATAAAGATTGAACAACATGTGCTTGAATAAAGAGAATAAGACAACTCTTTCGTATATTTTTCTCTCAACTTTACAATATGTCTCAGTTCTCAAAAAGGGCAGATCCCCATTTGTTCCCCATCTCTTCTTATTTATAAGGGACATTCCCCAAAAAACCCTAAAAAGTACAACATAAAGAATATCCAAAAGAATATTCTTCCTGTCTATTTCTGAGTTTAAGTTACCGTTACTGTCCTATATCAGCTACCTGCTTCTAGTCGTCTGCCTTCATTTGGACGGCCGTCAATCTCTGTGTCGTGGTCAACCCCGTCCTATGTTCTGCTTATCCATTGTCGTGGTTACCAAATTTGGACCTATACACCCTCCGTTATACTATTCGGTCAAATTAAACCACACCGTCTTAATTACTATTGATCAGGTTTAGCCCTCAGCCGTTAAAAACCCCGACCCATGAATTAACTGGACACGTACAACACCATAAACAAACTTTAAATATCTGGTTCATTTAACTAAACCCAACCCTAGAAAAAAGGGTTAGCCGAGGTCACTTATAGTAAACCGTATATTGAGCTGAGGAGTCTTGTTTTAATTAACTAAGGTGACTACTTTTCAACCAAATGAAAGAAAAGGCTTATCGCTTCGTCAAAAGGCTAATCAGTGGTATCTTAGCATCTTTGAACTTGTCTTTTTCCTATAAACTATAGTCGCTTTCTTCATATGCCTTTGTTGGAGCAGATTTATGCCGTTTTTACGGTACACGTGAACCTTTTGTCTTTTCGTCAAATTAGATATTTTATGTATATATTTCGTAAAATCGATATAATATTATATATTGGTTTCCATGCTCCAAAAAGGTTGAATGATGCACCTAGTTGAATGTTGAGTTATTTATCCAAAGAAACATGGATCGATTCCCACATAAGACTTCTTTTTTCTCACCTTTTCAATGGTTCACCTATGTTTTAGAAATTCTAGATTCACCTCTTTGAATTTACGACAATAACAATAAACAGAGTGTAATTCCACAAGTAGAATTTAGTGAGAATAGAATGTACGCAGACCTTTGGATTTACGAAAACATAAAAAAGGGTAGTAATTCTTCCCATTAAATATGTGGGATTTTTTACCCTCGTGTGGGATCAATATTTCGTGTTGTTTTCATTGTCTGATCTTGTTTTGTCACCGCCTGTCTCTGACATAATAAGTGCAATCGAATATGATTTTATTTAATTGACAGGAGCTATAGAAGCCATGCATGAAGTAGTGTGAGCAATCGAATTAGTTGTAAAGGTGTTTGCTTTGAGTAATAATGAGTTGAAGTTAACCCACAGTCTCACATTACTGATTTGGAAAGGAAAGGGCCCTATATTAATGATTCCTAACTTATTATTTACTAGTCATGCATGTATGATTCATTGTTTTGCCATGTTCAGTCTGGAGTCAGACGACATCTTTTTCAATTCATTTTATTTTCTTGGCTATGTTTCTTTCAGGTTTCAAATATATTAATTATATGTATGTTTTAAGTTACTCCAATGTTCAAGGAAAGGTACACCAGGAAATAAAGATTAAGCACCGTAAAAAGTGATGCAACATCTTCATTTTTGAAGCAGCAAAGATAAAATATATTCCGCAAGGGTTAACTGAGTTGGTTGGGTGAGTGGTTCTACACATGGAAGATTTGAGATCGATTCCCTTCATCACTACCCTCCTTACTAAGAGCTCGTTGCACCGTATCGGGCTTGCGTAGTGCACAATTTACATTTCCTATTTGATTGCGATCTATTTGCACAGTGAGCAGGTTATCCAGGTGGCTGCGGGTTTTCCTAAATTTTATTTAAAAAAAAAAAAAGAAAAAGATAAAATATATAGACATTGAAGAGAATATTGAGTTCTTTTAAATGACTTTGAGTTGGGAAGAGAAGCATGTGAAAGGAAACTTACAAAGGAACGTAACAATTGCTGATAAAACAATGCAATTATGAGCCCCTAAATAATAGGCTTAAATTTCTCCTTCATCAACAAGTATAAAATAGGACATGCAGCAATGGAAATTTCATCACTCATTCAACTCAAGCACTTAGAAAAATTAGAGAGTGACTAATATAATGGCTAGATCAACAGCTCACTTAGTTGTGGGTTTGGGAATTGTGTTGCTAATGTTTATAATAGCAATGGTAGAAGCAACTCCCCCTGGTATAGCTGATCATCCAAGCCATTCTCATTGCTCAGATGATGAGATAAAGCAATGTAAAAATCTTCCACATGTTTGTCCTAAATTCTGTCTCAATGGCTGCATAACTGAGTGTCGATCTTGCAAGCCTATCTGTATTGATGGCTCAGTGCCACCTCCTGATGATCATGGTTCGTCAAAACCGCCACCATCATCTCCTCCAAAGGAAAAAACTCCTCCATCCCCATCTCCTCCTAAGGAAACAACTCCACCACGTTCACCTCCTCCGAAAGAAAAGACTCCACCACATGATGGTGATGATCACGATCATGATGGTGATGGTGATGATCATGATCATGATGGCGATGATCATGGTTCAGGATCTAACACTGGCCCACCTCCACCACCTTCGTATCCTCCTAAGGAAAAAACTCCACCACCCTCATTATCACCCCCATCTCCTCCTAAGGAAACACCTCCACCACATTCACCTCCTCCCAAGGAAAAGACTCCACCACATGATGGTGATGATCACGATCATGATGGTGATGGTGATGATCATGATCACGATGGTGATGATCACGATCATGATGGTGATGGTGATGATCATGATCACGATGGTGATGATCATGGTTCAGGATCTAACACTGGCCCACCTCCACCACCTTCGTATCCTCCTAAGGAAAAAACTCCACCACCCTCATTATCACCCCCATCTCCTCCTAAGGAAAAGACTCCACCACATGATGGCGATGACCACGATCATGATGGTGATGATGATGACCACGATCATGATGGTGATGACCATGATCATGATGGTGATGATGATGACCACGATCATGATGGTGATGACCACGATCATGATGGTGATCATGGCTCAGTATCTCCTCCTAAGGAATCAACTCCGCCACCATCTCCTCCCAAAGAAGTAATTCCACCACCATCTCCGCCCAAGGAAACAACTCCACCACCACCATCTCCGCCCAAGGAAACAACTCCACCACCACCATCTCCTCCCAAGGAATCAACTCCACCACCTCCCAAAGAAGTAACTCCACCACCACCCTCTCCTCCCAATGAAGCAACTCCACCACCCTCAACTCCTCCTAAGGAAACAACTCCACCGCCTTCTTTGCCACCCTCATCTCCTCCTAAGGAAGCAACTCCTCCACCCTCATCAGATTCTAATTCTGCTCCACCTCCCGATCAATCTGATTCTTCAGGTGACCACAAATATCCTCCCCCAACTCCTTATTCTCCTCCTCCTCCTCCACAGGAGACAACTCCACCTTCATCTTCACCACCGTTACCACCATCTTCTCCTCCACCACCGTCATCTGGTTCTCCACCCCCTCCTACGTATCCATCACCCACTCCTAAACCACCCACACCAAGGAAGTCCAAGTGCAAGAACAAATACTACCCCAGTTGTTATGCTGTCCAACATGAATGCCCAAGCTCTTGCCCTACAAGTTGTCAAGTTGATTGTGTCACCTGCAAGCCCGTTTGTAGTAAGTTATTACTCCATCAGTTTCAATTGATATGTTTTACTTTTTATTTTAGTAGGTTCCAAAAACGAATTCCTCTTAGTAACTTTTTAATTTTTATATTCCTCGATATACCTTTAATGAGACTCCCTTATAGAAATGATATTGCATATTTAAAACAACAAAATTCTAAGGACACTTTTAATAATTATACTCACCTTTAATTTAATACCATAAGATTCGAAAATCTTATTTACATTCTTAAACTTGGTGCCCGATCAAAATAAAGAAAATAAAATGAAACAGAAGGAGTAATTTCCTAAATGTTTTTGCAATAATTCCTTTATATTTTTCCTCCCTAGTTTATGTTAAAACTAAACTACGCATTATATTTTACCAACTTTTATTTGGGACGCAGAGTGTGACAAGCCTGGAGCAGTTTGTCAAGATCCACGTTTTATTGGTGGAGATGGAATTACTTTCTACTTCCATGGCAAGAAGGACAAAGATTTTTGCTTAGTCTCAGACCCTGAATTCCACATCAATGCTCACTTCATAGGAAGAAGAAACGAAAACATGAAAAGAGATTTCACTTGGGTACAATCTATTGGTATCCTTTACGATACTCACAAAATCTCAATCGGTGCACTAAAAACATCAACATGGGATGATTCTATCGATCGTCTCGCTCTCCACTTCAACAATGAAGCTATATTCCTACCTGAAAATGAAGGTGAAAGATGGCGATCTGAAACTATACCTATGATCTCTATTACTAGAATCAGTAACACTAATGAAGTTGTCGTCGAAGTTGAAAATGTTCTCAAGATCACAGCTAAGGTTGTGCCTATTACACAACATGAATCTCGAGTTCATAACTATGGCATAACTAATGATGATTGCTTTTCTCATCTTGAACTTGGGTTCAAGTTTGTTTCTCTAAGTGATCAAGTGAGTGGTGTTTTAGGGCAAACTTATAGGAGAGACTATGTGAGCAAAGTTAAGATGGGTGCTTTAATGCCTATAATGGGAGGTGACAAAAATTTTGCAACTTCAAGTCTTTTTGATGCTGATTGTACTGTGGCTAGGTTTCAAGAAAGTGGAAAGCAGTTTGGTAATAAGGGTTTGTTGAATTTGGAGTTGCCAAGTTTGAGTTGCAATAGTGGGATTTATGGACGTGGAGTTGTATGCAAGCGTTAGAATTATTTCAAGATACTTATATCAAAATATGGTTGTAATCCAATAAAAATGGAGATTCTTTAATAATGGTGCTAAACAGTAAATGAGTTTGGACCAAAAAAAAAATAATGTTCTTATGTCATTTCTTCAATAAGATTTTGTTGCTTTTTCAAGAATTTAATAATGTTAATCTTTTCTAAATTGAAAGAAATATATAACAATCGTTTGTGATTGAGAACGTATGAAAACGTGTGATATCAAATCAGTTTTTGGTTTTTGATGTATTATTGCCCACTTTGACCAATAGATCTCACATGTTTATCAACTAATAGACACCCAGTTAAAAATCTCATATTTTTTTATATACTCAATAAAGTTTTTCTTCACATTTGATGCGCGACTCCTTTATGATCTTCACCCTCAATGAAACCTTATCTTTATATTCTACGTAAATAGAATCTGAATTTCGAAAAACCATGCAATATAAACAGTATGGGTCTGAGAAAAGGAAGGCAGGGGCTTTAGGCCCCCAAATTTGGGGGACCCATTTTTTTTATAATTTTTTCTAGAAAATATTTTGAGTACTTTTAATAGGAACGTAGACTATCTCATATAACTTAGAAAGATAATATTTTAGATTTGTTAATAAAGTAGTGTTTGCCTTATTTAAAAAATGAGAAGTATGAATTGATTACACAATTATTATTTCACATTTTTACGTTTATCGTGTAAATTTTATATTCTTTCCTTCGTTTGTCCAAGTCATAATCTTTCTTTTCTTCACTCTCTCGTCAGATTACATATTTTCTCTTTTACATTCTTTCTTACTTTTTTTCTCCAAGAGTTCATTAGTCCAACAGTTCAAAGCAATAAGCTTCTAATAGTTCTATTGCCTTCTAAAAAAACTAGTTGAAGAGTATATAGTTCATAATAATAACTATGGCTCAATCCCAAATAAGTTGAGCTCAGTTATATGAATTCTCATTTTTTTCATTTAGCTCAACTCAAAAGAGTATATAGTTAAAATTTCATGAAAATAGTACAAGTAGACTATAATACTCTAATTAATATAATCAATCAAATAAAAAAAAACTTGATTCTTTTTCAAAAAGTAGTGCTTGTAGAATAATATTAACAGTTCATGCAATAGTTATCTCAGCAGAAAGATAACTTTTAAAATTAAAATTGTTAAAATTTTACTTAAGATCAATAATGTCTCATCAAGAAAGATTAAATAGGTTGGCTATATTGTCAATTAAAAAAAACTATTAGAAGAAATCGATTATTAAAAAATTATTAACATCTTTGCATCTCAAAAGTTAGAAAAATAAACTCAAAATAAACAAACTTTAGAAATTTAATTTGGCCGTACGAGCTATAAGATTGCTCCATTTAAAAATGATTGCTTCTTTCTCTTTTTCTTTTTCGCTTTTGGATAATATTCATATGCAACAAAGCAACTCGATCAGTTAATATAATATGTTTGTGCTAAATTTATTGATTTAGTTTCGTTGACCCTTTACATCATATATAATATAATACTCTCTCTCTCAATTTATGTTGTACTCTTTTCTTTTCAGTCAGCCCCCAAAAAAAAATATCATACTTTCTTGTTTAAAAACAATTAAATTTAAACTTTTTACTTTATCCTTAATGGGATGACTTCTAGCGGTACATATATACATGGCTTATTTTAAACCACAAATTTCAAAAGTCTTTCCTTTATTTCTTAAACTTCGTAACAAGTCAAACATCACACATAACTTGTCTTAGAATAGGATTATTCACTGTCTCCACTTAAATTATTAAGCAGGTGATTAAATGTTATTTTTGTCCGGAGAAGTATTAATTATTATTTTTTTTCCTTCCTTTTTTTGGGTTCATGCACCAGGTAAGCTCATTCAAATTTGAAATTCTCATTCAATCCAGAAAACTACAAGACCAGCTACTTAAAATCAAAGTAATAATATTAACAACGGATAAAGGTCAAATATATCCTTCTACTATGAGAAAATGATCAAGTTTACCCTCAATTATACTTTCTGTCTAAAAATATCCTTGCTGTTATACAATTAGGCCAAATATACCCCTCATCCGTTAAAGTTGTCCAAGGTGGTTGTCCAATCCTACGTGGCACTGACATTTTGGCCATGTGGCATGCCACCTCACTGCCGTAAACCCATCTTACCCCTGGGCATTTAATAAACGCAAATTCTCCAAGCAGATTTGCGTGCACCTCTCCATTATCTAATAAGGTAACGAACCAAAATCTGCAATATTTAAAAATGATCAAAATGCTGGTGTTGATTTTAAAAGAATGAACAATTTCTAGAGCCTGTTTGGATGGGCTTGTTTTAAGTGACTTTTAAGCCAAAATAGCTTTTAAACCATAAGTTAGGAATTCTAACTTTTTGCTTTTGGCTTGTTTTTGTCATTTTAGCTTAAAAGCAAGTGCTGAAAAGCACTTTTTTACTTTATCCAAATACGACAAAATGGCTTAAAAGCTATTTTGGCTTGAAAGTACTTAAAACAAGCCAATCCAAACGGGCTCCTAGTTTGGTTGGTCTTTTTCTCTTTTTTACATAGAGGGTATAGAAACAAGAAAGTTTTATTCCTTCAGAAATTGTGAAGCATTCAGAACAAACTGCTGAAATGTGGTTGTTATTTCCCGTGATTTAGAAGATTATTTAAGAGAACCCCTGTACTGTACTATACTATAGATATTAATTAACAGTATGTAAAATCTGTTGCAGGTCTCTACCAAGTCTTATGAGAAGTTGGAAAAGCACGGTAGTTAGTACTTGCTGAAGTTTGAGGACACTCTGCGGTCAAAGTTTCTCAGCCGACAAAGTTGAGATGAATTTATCTATTGGCTGGCCATCAGAAATACTAATGAACTCAACACCAGTGAAATTTTTTATTTCAGAAGTATTTCAAGTCATATGAAATAATGGAGTTTTACTTATAAATAATCTTCAAGTTCTTTTCATGGGATCAAAGTCCAAACATAACTAGACCCTGTAGATACTAATTCTTAACTTTACATTTAAATATATGATTTTCAATTTCAACCAAATATTTTCCAAACACATACTGAACCCTACATCATGGCCAGCTTTTAATTGGTAACATCAGAGACCTTTACAGTGTTGGAAAGTCAAAAGGTAGAAATTATTATTATATTTTATTTGCAGTGCATGGACTAGAATAGGTTTTGGGTTGATTAATCCTGCACTTGCAAGATTTTGTTCATGCATTCTTAGGAGTTGCTAGTTGTGGAAGAAGTAAAGGAGAGGGGTAAGATGGGTTTACGGTAGTGAAGTGGCATGCCACGTGGCCAAAATGTCAGTGTCACGTGGGATTGTGCATCCACCTTGGACAACTTTAACGGATGAGGGGTATATTTGGCCTAATTGTATAACAGCAAGGGTATTTTTAGACAGAAAGTATAACGGAGGATAAACTTGATCCTTTTCTCATAGTAGAGGGATATATTTGACCCTTATCCGTATTAACAATAACAGTAGCCACTATAGTAACTAACAGAAAAGGGTCAAATTTGTCCATATACTATTCGAAAAGAGCCAATAATATCCTATGTTATACTATTGGTATGTCAGTGTCTCTAACGTTATAAAAGTGACTCAAAATTGCCGTTTTATTGTTGACCCCATCCCCATGGCCAATATTATCCTGAGTGGCCTAATATTTGGATGAGGTGGATGCACATGGCATGCCACATGACCACCGCAACATCGTTTTACTCCTCCCCTCCTGCCACATCATCCTTCTTTTCTAATTATCTACCCCTCCACCTTAATTCATTTACAACCACCCAAAGCCGCCAGCCTTTCTACAAAATGCAAGCAAGCGACCTCGTTTGATATTGTTGGCAGTTATACTAACCCCTGCAATTTTAACTATGAAATTGGCATGTATAAAGTCTGAAAAAGATGTAACGAGAGGATTACTCTTGTTACAAGTGAGAATAGAGAAAGAGAGAGAAGAAGATAAGGAAGAAAGGAAATTTTGATTTAATTATCGGAATCCAACATTGGATTCTGGACTCTTCCTAATAGCTTGACACCTGTCCAGTTTCACTAACAGAATTATGAACTTTATTGAACATAAATTATAAACTAAAGGACTCAAATAAACATAATAAAGACTTAACTAACAACTACTAATGACTCTGCTAATTCAAATAATCTCTACTCGTAACATTTCATCTCCCTTCAGAACCTTGTCCTCAAGGTTTTTTAAAATCTGGAAACTGAGATACTATGAAGTTGTAATCCTCCCATGTGGCTTCTTCCGGTAGCAAGTTAGCCCATTGCACCAAAATCTGAATAGATGCTTTGTTCCCTTTCTTCACCATCCTCCTCTCAAGCCACAACAATTGGTTCTATAAGAGGTTGTCCATCAGAAGAGCGAATTGGAGGATCAATAGATGGAATGACTTGCTGTCCAATCCTCTTCTTATGAAAAATAGGATGTATCTTGGAAGTGGGAGACAAGTTGAGCTTATATGCAAAAGCTCCAATCTTCTGCACTATCTGGTAAGGACCATAAAACGTAAAAGCCAGCTTCAAACTCTTTCTCACAACTACAAAGGTCTGTCTATAGGGTTGCAGTTTCAGAAATACCCAGTCACCAACATTAACTCTCTTTCTGTCCTCTTCTTGTCAGCATTCACATTCATTCTGTTTTGAGCCTTATACAAATTCTTTTTTAGTACCTTAGCCATAATTTGTATTTCCTTCAAGACTTGATCTATAGCAGCCACTTTAGTTTGTGAAATCAACTTTAAAAAGAGTTGTGGTGGTTCATATCCATACAAAACCTTGAAAGGAGTTATCTTTAAGGCAGAGTGGTAATTATTATTATACCAAAACTCAGCCAATGAGAGTCATTTATTCCACTCTTTAGGTTTATGCCCTATCATGCATCTCAGCTAATTCTCCAAGCATCTATTCACTCTCTCAGTCTGTCCATGTGTTTGTGGATGATAGGCTGAGCTAAAGCGTAACTGTACCTGTAAGTTCTTAAAAAGTTTCCTCCAAAAGTTACCGAGGAAGACTTTATCCCTGTCAGATACAATGCTATTAGGTAAATTATGCAACTTATAAATTGTATCCATAAACACTCTGGTAATCTGTGAGGTAGTGAAAGGATGAGACAATGCAATGAAGTGTGCATATTTACTGTATCCATCTCACTACCAAGATAGTGTCTTGTCCTTCTAACTTTGGCAAATTCTCAATAAAATCCATTTATATGTGCTCCCAAGCCTTCTCAGGTACCGGCAGAGGTTGTAATAATCCTGGGTAAGCCACCTAATCATCTTTGCAACTTTGACAGGCTTCACACTCTTGAATTATCTTTTTCACATCTTCTATCATAGCAGGCCAATAGAAAATTGCTTTTAGCTTTTGATATGTTGTTGTTACTCCTGAATGACCACTTAACCAAGAGTTGATGGTTGAGATCAGTTGCTGTCTTAGAGTTCCATGTTTACCACCCCAGACTTTCCCTTTATATTTTAAGATACCTTATTGTAGGGTGTCATCCACCAATGTAGAAGGGTTGCTGCTGAGTAATGTTATAACCTGCATCACCTCCTAGTCTGATTCATAACTTGACATCACTTCATCAAACCATTTAGGCTGCAAATAAGTTATCAGTAGACAGTCTGGCAGATCAGCTTCAAATGGCTGCTCATTTATCCTTGACTTTGCATCTGCCATAATATTCTCCACCCCTTTCTTGTACTGGATTTCAAAGTTTAAACCCATTAGCTTGGTTAAGCCTTTATGCTGCAAGGATGTTGTGATCATTTGTTCCTGCAAAAATTTCATACTGAAATGATCTGTTTTGATTATAAAGTGATGTGGGTGCAAGTAATGTCTTCATTTGTCTACTGCTATAAGTAGAGCTATCAGCTCCTTCTCGGAGGTAGATAATCCTTGGTGTCTCTTGCTTAAAGACTGACTTAGGAATGCCAGAGGCCTTCTGTCCTGCCTTAATACTGCTCTCACCCCAGTGTTGCAAGCATCCACCTCCAGAACAAAAGGTCTACTGAAATAAGGTAAAGCTAGAAGTGGAGCAACTATCATAGCTTGTTTGAGGTTCTGGAAGGCTACAGTAGCTTCCTCATTCCAGTTGAAACTCTCTTTCCTTAGTAAATTAGTTAGGGGCTTACTTAGATGAGCATAATTCTTGATAAACTTCCTGTAATAACCAGTCAGCCCTGGGAAACCTCTTAACTCTTTTACATAACTTGGTTGTGGCCATTCTAGCATAGCTGATACCTTTTTATGATCAGTGCTTACCCCTTTGCCTGAGATGACATGCCTTAAGTATTCCACCTATGATTGGCCAAATTCACACTTGCTTTCTTTTGCAAATAGCTGGTTCTTTCTTAGCAGTTGAAGTACCCTTTCTAGATGCTCAAAGTGTTCTTTTATACTGTTACTGTACATTAGTATATCATCAAAAAATACTAGTATGTACTTCCTCATTTGTTTCTTGAATAGAGAATTCATTGATGATTGGAAAGTGGCTGGGGCATTAGTTAATCCAATGGGCATGACCCTGAATTGCCACAACCCATGATGAGTTCTAAATGTTGTCTTGTACTCCTCTCCAGCCTTCATTCTCACCTGGTGGTAACCAGCTCTAAGATCTATCTTGGAAAACACAGTAGCTTCATATAGCACGTCCAATAAATCATCAATCATGGGGATAGGATATTTATTATTTATAGTTAAATTATTCAATCTCCTATAGTCAACACAGTCTCCAAGTGGAGTCCATCTTTTTTACTAGCAAAGCAGGTGAGGCAAATGAAAACTAATTGGGAACCAAGGTCTCAGCTTCCAACATGGCATTGATAACAGATTCAATAGCATTTTTTTTATCATGAGAATATATGTATGGCCTTAGATTGAAAGGTTGAGCAGCAGGGATTAGGTTGATAACATGATCACAATATCTTTCAGGTGGTAACTCAGTTCGCTCCTAGAACACATCATAGTATGCTAACAGTAACCTTTTCAATGTAGGGTTCATCTCTTTCTCACCTTTTACTCTAGGACAAGCAGCTGTTAGAGATAATTCAGCCATCACCTCGCAGGTACCACAATGCAACATCCTTCTTAAGGCTTCAGTATCAATTGGGATCACCTTAGGTTTAGGATTAACTCCAATTAGGGTCACCATCTTGCCATCTTTCATGAAGCTCAGGCAGTGAGGTCTAGTATGAAAGACCAGTGGAGCTACTACATCAATTTAGTCCATTCCCAAAACTATGTCACATCCTCTAACCTTGAGTAACCTAATTTAAAAGTAAAAATTCATTCTGCATTTTCCAATTGAACAAAGGGCTTTCCTGATCACATCTCATGACTTGGCCATTAGCCACTACCATTCTTAATGGAATGGCCATAGGTTGCACAGGCAATTTTAACAGTTTCACTATATGTGGATCAATAAAAAAGTGTATAGAGCCAATGTCTATCAATATGGTCAATGGGATCTTTTTTGCATATCTCAATATTTTGATAGTTGAAATGGCTCCTTCAGCAGAACTTAACCCCATCACCACATTGAGGGAGACCTTAGCTTGCTCCTCCGCTTGTTCCTCCAAAGTCTCAAGACCATCCACAAATTCCTCTATTTCTGGTTCCTCTTCAGCTGTGACCCCTTCCATGGCATGTAGAGTTTTAGCCTTGCATTGGTGTCCAGGATCATACTTCTTGCAACACTTATAACAAAGACCCTGAGCTCTGTGTGCCTCAAAAGTGTTTGGGTAGAAGTAATGGCTAATGGTTTAGGGTAGGGAAGGTTTTGGTTATTTCTAGCGGGAATAAGTGCAGTGAGAGCTGAAAATGACTCCTCATATAGCTTTGCAATCTCATACGCATCCGTAATAGTCACAGGATTGGCCAGCTTGACTAATGGTTTAAGATCAGGTTTAAGGCCACAAATAAAACTGGAAACGAAGTGAGTTTCATTCAAAAGAGGGTTTATAATAGTCATATATCTTGTCAGCTCTTCAGGCCTTTCTTGATATTGGTCCACACTCGCAATCCGTATAATTTTGTTAAACTCATCCATAATATCTTGTGGTCTACTGTACCAAATCTCCTGCAAACTTCAGTACAAAACCTTTGCCAAGTCATCCTTCCCCTGTGGTTTACCAAATAATTGTCAAAACACACATTCACCTTATCCCTCACATGCATTGAAGCGTAGTTTAGTTACTCTTACTATGAAATGTCATACAACTCAAAGAATTTCTCACACCTTCGTAGCCACCCTCTAGGATTAGTTCAATCAAAATCAGGGAAATTGAGTTTTGGTTTCAAGGTTTTCTGGTTTACTTTAGGCTCAGCAGGGTTAAGAGGGGTTGGCCACAGGGGGGCTAGAATGATAAAAAGGGTTTTGGAAATTTGGTGGGTTATTAAAAATTGGGGCTGGAAGGAAAGTGAAACCACAGCCAACAGGGTAAGTCGAAGGGGTGAAAAGAGTATGATTTAATGGAAAAGGATTCTTAGTACCTGAAACTCCTCCAGTTTCTGTTATTGCTTGAATTGAGTAAGAAGTGACCATCGTAGCGGGTTGAGCAGAGTCTGAAGTCACCGGTGTGAGCTGTTGGTCTGTGATTTTGGTCGCCGGAGATGGCGTCACCGGCCTAGAGTCATCTCGTTACGACAAACCCATGCTCGAGATAATGAAATCGAGCTTTCGATTTATGTCCTTAACATCGTCGAGTTGAGTTTGAAACTGAATCTGGTTGGTTTCTATAGATTCGAACATTTGGCTTGCATGTTCCACAAATGAGGAAAGTTGCACACGTATCCTCGCATCTCTGTTTGCAAAGTTTGAATCTCTGGTTTAAAAGTCATGGCAGCTGAAGGTTGAATACCAGGCGGCTCTGAAACCATTGTAACAAGAGGATTACTCTTGTTACTAGTGAGAATAGAGAAAAAGAGAGAAGAAGATAAGGAAGAAAGGAAATTTAGATTTAATTATCGGATGCCTTCCTCTCAGTATTATGGACTTCCTAATAGCTTGACACCTGTCCAATTCCACTAACAGAATTGTGGATTTCATTGAACATAACTTATAAACTAAAGGACTCAAATAAACATAATAAAGACTGACTAATGACTCAGTTAATTCCAATAATCTCTACTCATAATAAAAGATTGTTACATAACCATAAAACTGGGTTTCAATTCTTACTCATTATTGTTAGACATATAATGGTTCTTGACTACTCAAAACTAGTGGTAACAAATAGTAAGAACTATATTGCTCCTTACCAGCTTTCTTTCAGGTACTACTAAAGAAAAGTTATCTAAGCACCTTTATTTTACATAACGCTTAACATAAAAAATGAGATTAACTTTCTCATTCATTGTCCATTTCTCTTTAATTTATTAGAATTTTGTTTTCTACTTTCAATACTTTAATTTACTTGGTGCCATTTAAATGAAATGGAAGATGGGTAAATGTGTTATGGTGGTAAGATGCTGAGAAATGGCGGCGGTGAAGGTATTGGTGGTAGGAGTGCTAGTGTATTTATTGGGTGGTGGGGAGGCCTCCTAGGACATGTAAGGAAAATCAGCAGATAATATTGACTAAGAACAACAAGGAAAGAAGTCTACAACTTATCAAAAATACTGTGTCGTGGCAAGCCACTGCCTTGAAAGCAATTTCGGCCCGACTGGGTGCAAATCGTTAAGGCCGATCACTCCCCAAGGTTCCACAGCACCTCCAAACATGTGCACTCGTGGCTGGAAGTTTAGAATTTGCACAAAACAGTTGCCCAGGAAGAAGAGAAGATGAAGGTATTTTATGTGTAGGATAATTCACAAAGAAGACTAGGAAGAAAGGAATGATTAGCTAGATGTATTCTTGGTTAAGAATTGAGTGATTATGATGGCTAATTCATAACCTATTTATAGGAAATTAAGGAGGTTGCATGTATGACAAGTGTCGAGAAACTTTTGACACTTGTCTCATTATGTTAGTCCACTTGGCTCCAATATTGACAAGTGTATCTTGTCTTCCATGCATGAAAATATTTGGTAGATTTGCATAGCCATTTGTCAAAGCCATTCAACACTTGGCTTTAAGGCTTCATGCAAGAGGCCACTTGGAAATAGATAGGACATTTGAAAAATAAAAAACTCATGGCTATTGATTGTAAATGGAATTTCAAAAAGAAATTTTTGATTTTGCATTATGAATAATTCCAATAGTCCCCCACTAATGCAAAGATAAAAATAGAATAATTTTGGGCAAAAGAAGGAACATGTACTTAAGTGTCAATATCTTTCGATTTGAATTGACACGTAGTGAAATAAGGCAACAACTAACATCCACAAAGTGAAGTACTCTTGAACTGAATGGACATTAGCTGAGACCCCCACAACACATACTATATCCTTAATTTAATGCAAATTCTGCGATACTAACAAAGTTCTTTTATGGTCATGCACATACCTTGAGTCTCATGAGTGCTCTAGAAAGGCATCCCAAGTCTTTCATAAAAGGTGACCGCGCCTTTACACTCACGTAGGTGATTCCATCAAGTCTATCTACACATAGACTACCTTAAGGCTATGGAATCATTAAGAGCACAATAAGCTATGCTTCCTAAGAGCAGCATGTCTACCAATTTCACCATAGCGGCCTGTCTTGAACTCATAATAGCCTATGAATAAGCAATCGTCGAGATTGAGGAAGCTATTTTAGTTTAGTAATGATTCAAATGGATCAATAACAATAAAAAGTTGTTCAAATAGGAATTTGAGCGATGCAAAATAGGTTCTTTTCTTTCTATTTTGTCTTCAAAATCCATAATTGAGTATAGAACGGTTTAGTTACAAGAGTTCAATTGAGTATAGTGCATATTGAGTCTCATATGGCTTCGTTTGACCACAAACGGGTATCCAGCATACTTCCTCAATCCATTGGCTTTAGCCCCATCCCCCTTGACGTTTCAAGGATAACTCTCCTTGTCAAACCCTTGGTTAAAGGATCCACCAAATTTCTTTCGGATCTTACATATTCCAAGGAAATAACACCATGTTTCAATAACTGTTTTACCGTACCATGCCTAATGCGGATGTCTTCTTTTTTTATTGTACACACTATTTTTGGCAATTCCAATTGCTGCCCGTGAGTCACAATGTAAAGAAACTGGTGAAGCTTGTCTTCCCCACAAAGGCACGTCTGCCAATAAGTGTCTCAACCACTCGGCTTCTTGCCCTGCCAACTCAAGAGCAATGAATTCAGACTCCATAGTAGACCGTGCTATACAAGTCTGTTTTGAAGACTTCCATGAAATAGCACCTGCACCCAAAATGAACACATAGCCACTAGTGAAGCTGACTTCATCATTGTCAGTAACCCAGTTTGCATCACAAAATCCTTCTAAAACAGCAGGAAATTTATTAAAATGCAAACACCAATCCATAGTACCTCTCAAATATCTTAGCAAACGATGAAGAGCATTCCAGTGTTCACTACTAGGGTTGTGAGTATATCTACTCAATCTACTAACAACATAAGCAATATCAGGTCGTGTAAATATTACACTACCAATTATCTTAGCATACTCAGTTTGAGAAATACTACATTCCTTATTCTTTTTCAAGTGTATGCTAGGATCATAAGGAGTTCTCACAGGTGCTACATCAAAACAATTAAACCTTTTTAACATTTTCTCAATATAATGAGACTGAGACAATGAAAAACCATTAGAAGTTCTTTTGATTTTAACCACTAAAATCACATCTGCTTCTCCAAGATCTTTCATTTCAAATTCAGAAGACAAAAAATTCTTAGTCTCATTAACAACATTCACATTAGGGCCAAAGATTAACATGTCATCCACATACAAACATATAATAACACAATCGGATCCTATCATCTTGGAATAAACACAAGTATCAGATGCATTAACAACAAAACCATTATCCACTAATGTGCTATTAAACTTTTCATACCATTGCTTAGGTGCCTGCTTTAGACCATACAAAGACTTTCTCAATTTGCATACTTTATTCTCCGGTCCTTGGATCATAAATCCCTCAGGTTGAGACATATAGATCTCTTCCTCTAAATCACCATTTAGGAAAGATGTTTTAACATCCATTTGATGTATTACCAAATTATGAATAGCGGCTACAGCAACAAGAGTTCTAATAGTCGTTATCTTAGTCACAGGAGAATAAGTGTCAAAGTAATCAATGTCTTTCTTTTGATTAAAACCCCTAATAACAAGTCTACCCTTATATTTCTCAATTGTATCGTCAGGTCTCAACTTCTTCTTAAATATCCACTTGCTACTTATGGGTTTACAACCTTTAGGCAAATCAGACAAGTCCCAAGTATGATTAGAAACTATAGAGTCTAATTCACTTTTAATGGCCTCTTTCCAAAAACTAGCATCTATTGACCTCATTGCTTCACTATATGTCTTAGGGTCTTCTTCTATTAAATAGATTGATACTAATTCATCACTCAAAACATCAAGATCAATATTTTCAGTCAAGAAAGTAGTAATAAAGTCAGGACCAAAGCTAGCTTCAATTCTATGCCTCTTGCTTCTTCTAAGGTTATTTTCATGCTCATTAGCAGTAACACTAGAAGAAGGCACAATATGAGAATTAACATGCATAAATGTAGAAGCATTATTAGTCACATCACTTGGCACATTATTTTTCAATGGAAAAACATGCTCAAAAAATTCTGCATCTCTAGATTCACAAATAGAACTATCATTCAAAGACATAAATCTATACGCAGCACTATTTTAAGCATAACCAATGAAAATAGCATTAAAAGTCTTGGGTCCAACAGTTACTTGTTTAAAATCAGGTAGACCAACCTTAGCCAAACACCCCCACACTTTCAAAAATTTTAAGTTAGGGGCAAACCCTTTCCATAACTCATATGGAGTTTTATCTAACTTCTTATGAGGGACTTTATTAAGAACATAGCATGCAGATAAAATAGCTTCCCCCCCCCCCCCAACATATTATCAGATAAACCCGAACTCAAAAGCGTAGAATTCATCATTTCCTTAAGGGTTCTATTTTTCCGTTCGGCTACACCATTTTGTTGGGGAGTATAGGGAGCACTAATCTCATGTATAATACCATTTTCCTCATAAAAGGCTTCTAGAGTATTAGTACTATATCGCCCCTGTCAAACCTAAGTCTCTTGATTTTTCTATCTAATTGATTCTCTACTTCTGCCTTGTATTTTAAAAGCATGCTTTCAGCTTCATCTTTTGACTTAAGAAGATATACCTTAGTGTATCTAGAAAAGTCATCTACAAAGGTGATGTAGTATTTCTTTCCACATTTACTAATAGTGTTTTTGAAATCTGCTAAGTCTAAATGTACTAGTTCAAGCAATTCTGTTTTTCTACTAGTTACATTCTTAAAAGGCTTTTGGTATGTTTTGCTTCTACACAAACAGGACACTTAAAAAAATTATCAACATTAACTGCAGGAATTAATTCTATTTTTCTAAGTCTTTTAATAGAAGCAATATTAACATGCCCTAGTCTACCATGCCACAAATCACTAGACTCAGTAATATAAGCAGAACTGAAAGTACTAGCATTATTAGTAATTTCTTGAGCGATATTTAGTACAAATAAACCCCACTAAGGTAACCTTTCCCAACAAAGTCTCCCCCACGAGAAATAATAACTTTATCAGATTCAAAAATAAGGTTAAGACCTGCTTTGTTGAAAAGTGCACCAGAAACTAAGTTTCTACGAAGGGAGGGTACATACAGAACATTGTTCAAGGCTAAGGTTTTTTCAGAAGTTAGCTTAAGGAGAATTTTTCCTTTACCCATAACTCCAGTTGTAGTGGAGTTACCCATGTAGACACACTCGCCATCAGCAGATTCCTCAAAGTCGTGAAACAGCTCTTTGTTGGTGCAAAGATGCCTTGAAGCTCCTGTGTCCAGTATCCAGTCAGTCTTGTTAGCC